GCATATACCGAGGCCGGAGGAGTGGGAAAAGGAAGATGGAAACTTAGGGGCTCGAGTGCGTAGAGAGAATGTCTGGTATACGGACGGCTCCAAGACGGACACGGGCTCCGGGGCCGGCTTCTTTGGCAGTCGAGAGGGATGGAAAAAGAGCATTTTTCTCGATAGTTATGCAGCGGTATTTCAAGCGGAGATTGTGGCTATCCTAAGCTGTGCTCAGACCGTGCGGAGTAGGGTAGAAGCGGGAGAGCACATCAGAATTTGTACGGACAGCCAGGCAGCCATCAAGGCGCTGGGGGCTCCGACAATAACGTCGCGGTTGGTTCAGGAGTGCAGAGGCGTTCTGAACGAACTGGCGAGAGAGAGAGAGAAGTCACCGTTACCTGGGTGCCGAGTCACTCGGGCATCCAGGGTAATGAATGTGCGGACCAGCTGGCAAAAGCGGGTTCAGAAATAACGATGGTAGGACCGGGGCCGGCTCTGGGAATCCCCTTTTGTTTAGGAAGGGGGAGGATCAAAGAATGGCTCCGCAGAGAACATCTAAGACACTGGAGAGTGGAATCTGAGTCCAAATGCAGACAGGCTAGAGCTCTGATGGGAGATACTCCTAATAGAGAACTGGCTTGGAGCGTAAGGGCTCTGAGCAGGAGAGATGCCAGGACAGCGGTACACATACTGACGGGTCATGGCATCTTAAACTACTACATGCACAAGCTTGGGCGTAGAGATACATCCAGGTGCAGGGCATGTGGAGACGACGAGGAAACAAGCCTTCATGTACTCAGCGACTGTCCTGCACATGCAAGGTTGAGACACAAGATGCTGGGCTCAGCACTACTTGGGTCCAAGCAGATCAGGGAGCTGCCGGTGAGGAATCTGATTCTCTTTTGGAGAAAAACAGGTCTTTCATGAGTAAGTTTATGAGGGGAGGCACAATGGACAATGTCTAGGTACCGCGGGCGGCGCTTCGAAAGAGGAACGCCCCCTCGTTACGATATATTATTATTATTATTATGTACGATGCTGACGTTTGATTTTGCTTGATCTTTGCAAAATTATATTGAAATTATATCAAAATTAGCTGGAGTTTTCAAAACAGAAATTGATATTTTTTATTGCATATTTCTAAACCTGATGTCAAGAAGGTTTTAAAATATTATCATAAAACCTTTCCTTATTTACTTTTTCTAGAATTACAAATTTTGAACTTAATGGTACCTTTGGCATTTTGGAGATTACGCTGTCAGTGTCGTACAAATCAAATAACTGTCTTTGCAACACTTTTTTAAAAAACTGCAATTTTTTCAAGATATTTCAAAGATTCCAATATATAAAAAATAAAACAAGTCATTCTTTATGAGATAGAGTACGTTAGGTAATTTTAGTAAACTTACCAAAGTGAAAAAATTGGAAATTTACAGTTGGATGTAGAGATATATGTGCACTTGCAACAATTGCGTCATTACATTGACCCGATGTAATATAATCTTTAGCAACAGCCATGGCATAAAGACTAGTGCTACAACCAGTATCGATCGTTTGCGACGGACCTCTAAGATCGAATAAATGTGATAATAGATTTGCTAATGTAGATTTAGCACAGCCTATGATATTTCCGTCACTTATCTAATTACCAAAGAAAAGTAATAAATTTGCGTATGTAGATAATGATTTTTATAATTTAACTTGATCATTTTTTTTTAAGATGCTCATGAATCAATGATTTGTTTTACCGGCAAATTCTCGTATAAAAATTTTTCTTGTGATTCGATTATAGATGTTCCTACGACCACAGCAGTATTTTTTCCTCGTAATTCTTTTGGATTGATTCCTGCATCGATAATTGCTTCGTAAGTATGTTCCAATAACATTCTTGTCATAGGATCTAATACATTTACTTGCTTGAAAGATATATCAAAAAAATTGGCATCAAACTTCTCCACATTATTAATTATCCCCATGCGAATTGGTATGTCCAAATGCTCTAAGAAATAATGTAATTTTGCAAATTGTAGCTATGTATATTGTATTCTGCATATTTATTTTTGTAAAATTATAGTTTAAAGTATATTTTTCAAATGTATAATTCGGTACTGTAATTAATAACAAGGGAAAGACTGTTAATCTCATTGTCAGTTAAATATAAAGCTATAATTTATAAATTAATTACCTATATTCCATCGAAGGCGATTTGTTTTAACAAGATTAATTTTGTTGAATAAATTTTCTTGTAATTGTCTCATATTGTCTGAGCTTGGGAATCTACCAGCGATACCAGAAATAACAATTTCGTCACTGGATTCGGTATTAATATACGATTGATATGTTTTTTCGGTACCCATAATTCTAATTATTTTATTGGATATACAAATGCAGAAAAATAGATGCAAATATACTTATCTTATTTTATTTGGTTTTACTTGTTGCGGTATCTTTTTATGATATTTGAATTTAAAAATGCGTTGTGTCACTGTAATATTGAATATTGTTTGAAGACTGGACGATGAAACGCTAAAGCACAGTTTTTATAAGCAGTTGACATAATTAACCATTACGTAAAGTTTGGAGGACTTTAAACTTACAAATGTAATATCATTTCCGCTGTATATTTAATAATTCGATTTTCTACTTTTGTCACGTATGTATAATATGTCTAATTAAAATTTATTGGTTGTATTATTATTTATTTATATTTAATATTATTTATATTAGTAAATATTTATTATTTAAGACTAAATTATTTAATAATATCAATTCAAAATTCTCTACAAACAACAATTAAGGAATCAAGAAAAATTGTTCAAAAAAGGTAATTTTCAAAGCATTGTAACTCCACGAAAAATTATCGTATTTTAATTTGGAACAAAGCATTTTAAAGCTTGAAACTACTTTTAAATGTGTGCCTACAGCAAATTTTCATTTTTTTTATTTTATGAATCTGGTCGTATAACCGTGATACGCTTTGAATAACGTTAATGTCGTTTTTATTATTAAAAAAAATTTTCCATTTTGTATTTAAAAAGTTAGGTAATAACACTTATAGTGCTTAAAAAAAAAATTATTTTTAGAGATTTTTCAATTATTGATTGCGGTAGAGCAGATTGATCTTTTAGTTTCTAGCATTTTCGGCTGATTCAATTACGATGGACACATAAAAATAAATTTTTTAGCTCACAATGTTATTGAGTATTGTTGAGATAGAATTAAACTAAAAATGTAGTGCCATTGTAGTCAAATATCGATATGGTGTCATTAGTCATTAATGTTCCGACTAAACTAGCAATTTCTGGTATCAAAAAAATTGGAATCTAATTTCAAAGAACACAGCATTTTCTCAAGATGAATTCACATGCGCCATTAGATTCATATTAAGTTCCACATATTTTAGATTTGACGGTAGCATTTATAAACAAACTTTTGGGAGTCTTACGAGCTGTCCTCTCTCACACATCATCGCTGACATCACTCTATGTGCCATAAAGGAGAGAGTAATGAATAAGCTCATATTTCATCCGTTTTACCTCAGATGTGTGGACAACATAATCCTAGCTGCTCCGAGAAATTATATGGACCAAATGTTACAGATTTTCAATTTATATCATAAAAGAATACAACTCACAATAGAAATAGTTGGAGGAGGCCATTTGAATTTTCTGGATGTGAAGTCAAGGATGGGTGCATTATATTTGACTCGTATAAAAAACCCATTTTTGGGGAGGTTTCGAGAACGTTTTTAACTTTCTTTTCTCAACATTCGATTACGCAAAAAAAAGCGTGATTATGAGTTTAATAGATAAAGCCATCTCACTATCTTACCCACCATCCAAACCCACCAAAAGAATTTAACAGAGATAATGAAAATTCTATTAAAAAAAGGATACCAAATCACATTCATATTTAATATCATAAAAGATGGACTCAAATATAAATTTTACAAAACGGATGGTGATGGGGACGGTCGGCAGGGTGGAAATTCTGAGAGAGAGAAATTCTTTACGATACGGTACGTGAGATTTATATCCGAAGAATTCTCGCAGACAATAAAAAGACTTGATTTCAAATTATCCTTTACTCGCGCAGATGACACAAGGAAATTCATTAGGACTCACAAAGACAATCTAGATACAATGTACCATAGCGGTGTAGTCGATAAGATGTCGTGCAAAGAGTGTGATGCCACACATACATAGGGCAGACAAAAAGACAGTTGGGAACAAAAGTCCAAGAGTACAAAAATGATATAAAATTTCGCGGAGTTACAATGCATTGAAAATTGCCTCTTTTAAGTAATTTTTCTTAATTATTGTTTGTAGTATATTTTAATGTAAAATATGTATTTGATTTAACTGTATTTAAAATAGTATTTTTTTTTATTTAAAAAATTATTTATTTTCATTCAGTTTTAATCTTACAAAAGAAATCTAAAAAACTTTTCGAACAACATAAGATTAAAATTATATATATATAAATACTAAATATTACATAAAGTAATAAATACTATTTAAAGTAACATATTGTGCGTGCGTGCGTGC